TTGAAGTCTTACGACAATCGGTATTGGGAGACCTTCAACCAAGTAACAGATTGTCCTACAAACCTAGCTATTGCACAGTACAAGCAAGGTCTGTTAGTGGGTCATAAATTGAGAGATTTAATAACAATGACGTCACCTCTTTCTATGGAAGCCCTGATGGAGCGAGTGCACCAACTAGTGCTTAAAGTATCACAGAGCCGAAGTAACTTGGCTGACCGCAATGTTAGCCGAGGTAAAGATGTCAGCCGAAATAAGTGGGCCTGGTGGTTAGCCGAGGTATTGGTGAGAAAGGATGTCGGGCTTGGTATAGCTCGGCCGCCGGTCTTGGTATAACTCGGCCGGGCGCCATCTACATCATTACTTAAGCGTCTGACCGAGGTAACTTAGCTCGGTGTGGTTGCAGCAGCTTATTAAAAGGAGGTAGCATCAATGGCGAGGGTCGAGCTGTGTATAGCTCGGTAGGGTGGCATCCGTTAGATCGGCTTTCGATCACACGGTCCGAAGGGCAGGGGACCGAGATAAATCAGTTCGGGCAGGAATGTATAACCGAGGTAAAAGGTTCAGCCATCTCACTTGGCTTGCAGTGATGAGACTCCTAGTAGGACTCTGTTAAGGAGAGTTAGAGTCCTACTGGGCTTGTATAAACCATCTCACTTGGTTGGTAGTGAGTAGAAGTGTGACTCCTAGGAGGACTCTATTAAGGAGAGTAGAGTCCTACTAGGATTGTGCAAAACCATCTCACTTGGTTGGTAGTGAGTAGGGTGTATGATTCCTAGGAGGACTCTCAAAAGGAGAGTTGGAATCCTACTAGGATTGTGCCAAAGCAAAGTCTATAAAAGCTCATGACCAGACCTATGGACAGGTATCCCAATTCTTACTCCAGAATACACAGAGCATATTGTCTATTGTCTAGTTGCTGACTTAGGCATCGGAGGGGTTTCCGGCACACACCCGCCGGTTAGCTCACATTTGTGTTTTCAGGTGGCAAAGCAACATTGTTTGGAGGATTGCAAACTTGATTAACAGGATTATACGAGAAGGTTTATTTCTTTCCCGTACAGGTATAAACCAAGTACGTATGTGAGTACAATGAAGCATAAACACAATTTTCTTACAAATATAAGGGTACTAAAATAAATATATAGTGTTATTTTTAAATAAAACAAATGATGGACATCCCTACAAATTTCCAAATCATAGAGAACTTAGGGTTCTCTTATCATGGTCAGATGGAATCTAAACCAAGCCTTAAGTCCCATCAAATGGAGTCGACTGCATGAATCCTTCTTCTCCAGGCCACTTTATCCATGGCTATTTCATTAGTCAAATTAAGAAGATTCATATCTCCATTTACTATACTAGTCCACGTCAATCTAAATCTACCATTTCTCCTAACACTACCATCTACCGTCACTGTATCGTATCTCTTCCCTATTGCCTCGGTTGGTCTCTGTTGTATATGACCAAACTATCTCAATTTATTCTCTCTCAACTTATCTTCTATAGGTACTACCCCTATCCACTCGAATATACTCATACCTAATTCTGCCTTTTCTAATCTTGTTACACATCCACCTTAGCATTATCATCTCAGCAACACTCATCTTATCTACATGTTGTTTCTTAGTTACCCAATATTCCGTCTCATACAATATCGTTGGTTTAATAGCTATTTTATAGAACTTATTTTTTAGTCCAATGGGTACTCGTTTAACGCACAGTACTCCAGAGGCATGCCTCCACTTAAGCCACCCCGTCTTAATTTTGTGGACCACATTTACTCCAATTTCTCTAGTCATTGTGATAATCGATCCTAAATAACGAAAATGTTCACTCTTAGGTAGTTCTTGATTCTCAATCTTCATTTCTCTTATGTTTTCATTGTGACTGTTACTAAAATTACACTCCATATACTCTGTCTTACTTTTGCTTATTCTAAATCCTTTACATTCAAGTGCCTTTCTCCAAATGTCCAACTTAGTGTCAACTCCTTCTCTAGTCTTATCCACTAACACGATATCATCTACAAAAAACATACACCATGGCACATCATCTTGAATATTGCGTGTCAACTCATCTATAGCTAAAGCGAAAAGATAAGAACTTAATGTTGATCCTTAGTGTAACCCCACAGAAATTGAAAATTCACTCGTCTCTCCAGCAAGTGATCTAATAGTGGTCACTACACCTTCATACATATCTCTAATCACATTAATGTAACCTTTTGTCATCCCTTTCTTCTCTAACACCCACCAGACTATATCCTAAGGCACTTTATCATATGCTTTCTCAAAATCGACAAAAATCATATGAATGTCTCTTCTCTTTTCTCTATACTTTTCTATTACTTTCCTCAAAAGATAGATCGCTTCCATTATTGACCTACTAGGCATGAACCCAAATTGATTCTCTGACACCTCTGTTATATCTCGCAATCGATAATCCATCACTCTCTCCCACACTTTTATCATGTGACACATTAACTTGATTCCTCTATAGTTGTTACAATTCTGGACATCTCCTTTATTCTTATAGTCAACAAAATCTCACTAAATAATCTAGTCAACCAAACATGGTCAGATGAAATCTATGCCCAAAAAAAAAAAGTATGTAGCTTCTCTAATATAATGGCATTAAACCAGCTAAATAGACCTTTATATTGAACTCTGATTTGTAGGTTGGATTTGTAACTAATTTTGACATTAAACTCTAGTTTATACCTTTGAACACTTTTTGTATTTGGTTTTCTAATTGTTATATGTATCATACACTACCAAAAATTATAAAAATATATTCACTATGCTTGGTTATCATTTTTCAAAAACACTTTTCAGAAAATTTTACTTTTTTATTTTCCGTGTTTTTTTGTTTTTACTTAATTTTTTTAAATATTTTGAGCAATTTTTTTAATTTTTAAACATACCTAACATACATATACCTAAAAAGTAAAAAAAAATTGAAAAAAACCTTTTAAAAATTCACTAAATACCAAAAATACAAAAAAAATACGAGAATTCAGTACATTTTTTATATTTTTATGTATTTATTAATTTTTAAAAATATTTTTTCACAAATTTTTTACTTTTTAGATACATCTAAGTAAGGTGCATCTAAAAAAGTAAAAAAAATGTTTAAAATTTTAAAAATATTCATTAAAAACAAAAAAACACGAAAACCAAAAAACTCAATTTTCAAAAAACTTAATTCAAAAAACTCAAACCAAACACACTAATTAGTTTTATAGACGTACTCTGGCCGTATCCATATTATATACCCATACCAACATTTGTACTTGTATCAGTGTTCATAGTTAAGAAAAGATGCTGCCAGGAAGCCAGTGAAGCCAGAAGCAAGACACAGAGGGGCTCTTCATTGCCAATAAAAGATGGGGAGTTCAAAAGGTCTCAAAAAAGAGTAAAGAGAGTAAGGAGTTACCTATTGTGAGCTGTTGAATAGTTTTAGGTCTTTGTCTGATTGTAATTGGACAGTGCCTTGCACCTTCTAATACAGTTTCATCTTATTTATTTGTCCAAATATATATATATATATATGTACCATATAGAAAGCAAGTTTGAAACCATGATACAGTTAACAATATTTAGGCAAACATTTGATGAAAAGGAGAAAAAATCATCAGTTCTTGAAAAAATAAATTCTAATGCAAATTAAAAGTAGATATCAACCTTGGAAGATACTCTGTCAGTATAGAAAGATTTGGTGGATGAGTAACTGCTGCCATGAAAAGAACGACATTAGGATGTCTCAACCTCAACATGATTTCAACCTGCACAAATCAATCAGCAGATGTACATTTATTGACCATTCAGATCATTTTATAACCGCATCAGATGTAAGATATGAAATATGATACTTCATATTTGAACTGAGCAAGTGCATCGCCTGATATATCTTGGTCCATGAATTTCTTCACAGCAACTTCCTGCCATGGAATGACGTTTCTATCACATTAACAAAATATAGGGTCCTAAAATAGATAAAACGTTAGGAGTTAATCTAGAACTGCAAGCAAATATTGACAAAAGGTTAAATGAAATACACTAGCATGTCTAAAATACAACGTACAGTGCCATTCCACTCTGCACGGTAAACCTCGCCATATGAACCTGCGCGGTAGAAAATAGCAACCATTCAATGTCAAATCAATTATCAGACTCTCCCAATGCATAGATTTCATTATATGCTGGGTAAATGAGAAGAAACCAATACATAGGTCTGATTACATCACAAGATCATTTCCATCACTACTTAGTCAAAGTAAACACCATTAATTGCAACATTGATAATGGCTGAAATCGATAGTCAGAGGTTACCAGTGATCATATCACTTTTCCTTACTGTTGTTTCTACAAGTCTTCATTGCAGATGACCAAACCACCTTAGTAAATCCTCTTTTAATTTATCCTTAGTTGGTGCCGATCTTATCATTGTACGAATATATTCATTTCTAGTTCTATTTTTCTGGTCTTACCGCACATCCAACTATCCTCATTTTAACTACACTTAATTTATGAACATGTTGTTTCTTAGTTTCCTATCATTCTATCTCACAACATATCATTGCCCTCATAACTGTTTTATAATTCAATTCGTTGGTATTTGCCAATCACATGATATGTTCGAAGAACTCCACACTTGACCCAACTTACTTTTATTCTATGGGTCATATCACCCCCAACCTTTCCATTCTTATTAATAATAGAACCTAGGTAGGGATATTGTCCACTCTTTGTTTAATACTGGTTTTCAATCCTTACTTCACTACTTCTACTTCTAATTTTACGTAAGTTGCATTTCATATATTCAGTTTTAGTGCCACTTATTTTAAACCCCTTTGATTCAAGTGCTTCCCTCCACATTTTTAATTTCGCATCAACTCCTCTCTTAGTTTCATCCACTAGAACAACATATGGAAACAAATTTTTGTTCTTGGATAAACCAAATCAAACCAAACCAAGCCTCCCATCAAATGAGGTCGGCTACATGAATCCTTCTTCTCCACACGACTCTATCAAAAGCTATTTGGTTAGTCAAATTAAGGAGTGAACAAATTTAGGAACATAAATTCTTACCAATTCCAATGCGTTCTCCAATCTGAAGACCTTCCCATGGAATTTCCCAGTCAGAAACATTACCCAGCGCTGGGTTAATCCTCTCATTGTGAGCACTGCAAGCAACAGGCAGGCCACTGTTGGTTTCAATCAATCTCACAGGAACAACACCCACATCATCAGTCTGGTTCGCTTCATTAGTTTCACAATTAACAAGCACAAATCCCTCATCTGTAGTGTCAGAAAGTAACGAGCGTCCAGCGTTAACATCAGTAGAAGGCAATTCTAGTTGTTTTGCAACCAAAACTGCATGAAGTTTCTGAGCAAAATCTGGGTTTTTTGCAGCACTGATGACATACTTAGAAACATCTTTGACTTTCAATTTTTGTGCATCTGTTGCTGTCCCACCAGTGCCAGACAATCTTTCATGTGATCTAGATAGCAATGGAAGAAGCTTACCAAAATCATTCTCAAACCTCTTGGTTTGATTTTCTTCATCAACATGCTCTACATTGCCTTTTGACTGAATGCCTGAAAAAGATGCTTCTACTGAATCTGAGCCGACACCTTTGGCAACTTGTTCAAGATCAGGTGAAACTGCACTGCTTATATCTAACCCAGAATTTTGAAGATCACTGGGTAACTCAGAAGGAATTAGAGTGCCTGGAGCAGCCATGAGATCAATAATGTATTCACTGCATCAAACAACAATCAGCTACATCATTACAAACTGCTTTGTCAAAAACTTCTAAAGCCATAACAATTCTTTCAGGTAAGACAGTGAAGACAATTGAATGCAAGATGAAAACATACAGCATTCTCCATGATGATCAACACTATTTGTCTAAATAGAAAGGAACACACAAACCGAGGAACTTAAGAACTTCAGGTGACTGGCAATAAATGAACTGACCACTTACAAACAAGAAGTGACTTTATATTCACAATTCAAATATAATTCCTGCTCTGGAAGAGAATTACTTTGTTTAAAGGAATTACTTCATTTTTCATTTCTAGTGAGGGAGAGCGGTGCGTGTGATATGTAATTTATTTTAGTTTTCTTTATTTTTTGCGGGACCTCTTGTTCTCCTTCAATCTTTTTGTAATTTATTTTGATCTTTATTAATATAATGTGTATTGCCAATCAATAAAATAAAAGTGTTGTGTGACAGTAGAATTCCTATTAAGTTGAAAGAAGAATTGTATAGTACTATTTATTTATTTTTTAGATCAGCAACAAACAAAGATATATTAAGGCTCAAGGACAAGAAAAAAGAGGATAAGGCATCCTCTTACAAGAGAGATGAAAAAAACAAAAAGAGAAAAAAATACAAAAATTCCAGACTCAAAACTACTACACAGAACAAACTGACACCCAATTAGTAGCAAGCAAAAAAAGCGGAATCTCTCGGAACACTGAGCTCGCCGAGGCCTAAAAAGACGCCAAGTATCTCACCCTATCTCATAAATAGTCTATCTCCTGGGCAACTCCTTCGAAAACACGGGCATTTCTTTCCAACCAAACAACCCAGAAAATTGCAAAGACAACACCACTCTAAAGCACTTTAGCCCTCTTCGATCTTCCAAAAACTTGAAAATCAAATAATAGCATTTGAGCACATCCTTTTGGGGCCACCCACATCACACTACCCAATCCAAACACCCTATGCCATAACCACCTAGCCACCGAGCAATGCAAAAAGAGATGATCCAGAGATTCTCCACTTTTACAACACATGATGCACCATTGAGGATTAAGATACCGTGAAGGTCTCCTCTTTTGCAATGAATCATTTGGCAGAGTGCCCCCATGAACCAAGATCCACATGAACATTTTCACCTTAAGAGGAGCACACGCCTTCCAAATCTTGGTATGAAATAGAAATTGAGGTACATGAGAAGTATCAATGATTTTATCAAGAAAGGATTTACAAGTAAAAGAATCCGACGAATGAATATTCCAAACCAACCTATCCTTCAAAATTGGAGACAAAGAAACATTTTTGAGCCTTGACAAAAGAGAAATCAATTCCGAAACTTCCCTCTCATGAAGATTCCGTCGGAAATTAAAATTCCAAGATAAAGGAAACACTAAAGAACCGGCCACAGACAAAACAGAACAATTATGAGACTGAGAAACGCCATACAGAAGTGGATAGAACTCAACCAAGGACGTCGAGCCCACCCAAACATCCTCCCAAAATTTGACCATTTCCCCATTACCCACCCTCACAGAAATGAATCGGGACCAAACTGGATAAATCCGAGAGATGGTCTTCCAAGGAGCATGCCCGCTACCCCTTGAGACCACCTGAGAGTCCCTACCATTAACCTAAATCCCATATTTACTTTTAATAACCGCATGCCATAATGAACCACACTCATTGGGAAATCACCATAACCACTTGCCCAATAGAGCCATGTTTCTGGCCACTATATTACCAATGGCCAAACCCCCCTTCTCCTTAAATAAGGACACCGTTTCCTAGTTCACCAAATGATCCTTCCTTCCCTCATCTTTCCCTTCCCATAGAAAATCCCTCCTTAACTTTTCAATAAATTTTGCTACCTTGCCTGGAATCTTAAACACAGACATGAAATAAATTGGAATTCCACTCAGCACTGTCTTAACCAGAGTGTACCTACTCCCACGGGATAGTAAAGCCCTACTCCACCCTTCTAACCTCTTTCCTATCTTTTCCACAACCGGATTCCAAAACACTTTACCCCCTTGGGTTACCTCCCAGCGGAAGCCCCAAATACTTCATCGGAATTGTATAGAACTACTATAAGACTTGCTATGATGTCTTGTAGTGAATGTTAGACAGTTTAGAAAAAAATATATTTGGAAAACAATTGTAGCTGAAATAAGAATGTTGAGACGTATAATAATTCTATTAGGAAGAAGTGAGAAGTGGCACCAATTGAAAATAAAATGAGAGAAAACTGTTTGAGATGGTATGGTGATGTAGATCATAGACCAATTAATGCACTTGTAAGGAGAGTGATTGATCCACATAGCAGTGGTAAATTAATTAGAAAAAGACAAAGGAAAATATAGGTTGAGGTAATAAAGATGACATGATTAGCTCAAACTTAAGATATGATTTTAGATAGAATCATCGAGAGGAAATGGTTCCATGTAGCCGAGCCCTAGTAATTGGAATAAAGGCTTGTTGAGTAGAAATGGGCGTTGTGGATTATGCTGAAATTCACTTGTAGAAAATGTTTAAATAAAAATACTTGTCCAAATACTGAGGCCTTGTTTGGAAACAGGCTAATTTAGCAATTTTTTGATTTTTTAGCTAAAATATGAGGTAAGGAAATTAGTATATTTGGAATTATTTTGTGTTTTTTTACGAAAATATGTGTAAAAAGTAGAGAGAAAAAAGAATCTTTGACTTTTTGGTATAGATTGTGGCTTTTTAATTTTTTTTAGCGACTTTTTGACTTTCAAGCTAAAATATTGAGTTGCCAAACAAGGCCTAAGCCTACATTTGTTTTGCGGATGGGGTAAGTGTGAATTGGATATCCTAAGACAAATTTGTGTCATGACTATTTACTCCTTCAATCTGATCTTATCTAGTGTTTGGTTGGAAAAGGATACGGGATGGGATTAAGCAGGTCCCCAAAATTAATCACCATTGGGTTTTGTGCCAACCTCGTCCCACCATCCATCCCTTTTTGGAGACCTAAACATGAGAAATATGGACCCCAAGGATTATTAATCCAACCCCACCACTTTATCCCACAAAACAAATGTGGCCTAGTCTTGATAGTATCTAATGGTAACAACAATAAATAATTTATTACTCCAAAAGACCAAGATAAGACAAGAAAGTCAATGAATCAAGAGCCATTTTCTTTCCTTTTATTATTTAAGTAAATGAAAGAAGAAAATTTTTGAGATGCGTGAATGAGAAAATATGCCAACCAAACAACCCATATCCCAAAATTTAACTTGCTAATCCAATTTTTATAAGAGTTTGTATCAGAATCCTTTAAAACAAAGAGCTGGAGGTGGCTACCTCCCATTATCAAATTTGATCACGTTCACGGCTCCTTCATCAGTACCAGTATAGTAACTTCCTTTGACCAGCATACATGGAAGGTTAATTTTATCAGCAAGTACCTAGCACCAAAGTATGAGATGATTAAATGCTTATCCAAGATTCTTAGATATTTAAGAATAAAAAAAAAAACGCCCAATTAGATATATTATAAAAATGAAAGGGGATCCTATGAGGTAAAACCTCAACAATGATTTCACCACTAGAAAATATCAATAATTATAAATAAATAAACACAAAATTGAAATTCTAGAACCACCAATAACATGTTTTGAGCTTTAGCCATTCTGTAATTTTGAATCAGTGTAATAATCTGTAGAAAACGAATACATAAGTGAACATATTGACCGGAAGAGGAGAAAAGACTGAAGTCTATCAACTCAAAATAAACATGGATCTTTTGAAATTGGGAAAGGTATTAAATCTTAAACTTCAATAAATAGATATTTTCCTTTGATTCAGTTAAGTTTATGGAATTTAGAGTAGAACATCAAACAGAAGTTAAAAGGCATTAGATGGTAAACTCTAGGAATACTTTCAGTTTTGATGCACAAGGAATTCATTCAAGTTGAATGAAGTTTAAACATTAACCCATAATACTGGGACATAAGTACTAACAACCCCCAATTAAATGCCTCATGTTTAGATGTTAAACACAAATAAGAACTTTTAGGCCACATACTGTACCTGTGTGAAGCAACCTAGAAGGAATGAGACTTAGCGTTGAACAAACACAATAAGGCATATCAAACCAAATGGGGGAACAAACAACAGTCATTTACATTGGCAAACTATTGTATGGAACATTTACATAATGGTTACCTGGAGCATTCGGGGTAATAAAAGAAATAAAGGAAGGCCAAGGACAACATGGGATGAACTGGTGAAAAAAAAGAACATGATTGCCTCACACTTAATTGAGAATATGACTTCAAATAAACCCTCATCCATGTAACTTAACCCAAGTAATCGGTACAAAGACTTGTTGAGTTGCTAACTGCAGCTATCTGCTGCCAAACTATTTCAGTCATGTGCATTGAAACTTCAAACATATAAAGGAACAAGAAAAAAAATATTGGAGAGAACGTTTTAACTTAGACAAACTCTAAGACTCTAATAACTTTGGGTGCTGATATCAATTAGGGTACTGCATTTCTCAGAGAAAATTTGGTTGAAAGACATGGTAGAGTCATGGAGAAAAGGGACACAAATTTGACTTGATACAAAAATAATATAGTATACACCTAGGAAGCATGGACACTTTTAAGGTGTCATGCCCTTGTCGAACACATGTCAGACACTGGCACTAATCAGATACTCCTTCGACACATGTCAGACAAACTTCCAAATGTATCCTATTACACTGAACACACTTTAGACGTGACATGAACCAGAAGTTAGGAGGCTGAATGTAATAACCTATTAATCCCAACTCCTTTAGGCTTTCTAATTTCAAAAATTCTAAAGCAAAAAACTTTCATTTTGTTTATGGATAGAGAATTTTAAAATAAATCTTAGGATTTTTTTGTTCATACTTCTTTAATCTTTACCAATAAATAGAATGTGAAAAAATTATTTCCTACTATTTTTATATAATAAAATATAAATATTTTGTAACATAATGAAAGATGAAGAAATTGTTTATGTTTTGCATGCTTATATAAATATAAATATTTATTTGTTGCTATGTTTGCTATATTGTGTCTTGATTTTCTATCTAGATTTAATTTTTGAACTCAACTTTTCTGTTGAGCTTTTTTTGAAGCTTTTGTATATGGTTGCATCAACCTTTGGGTGGGTTTTGGTTCTCCTAACAGAATCTTCTCTTTATTTATAAAATAAAAGAGAGAGAGTTGCAAGGAATTTTACTAGTTTGGTTAAAATTAAGAAAGAAAATAAGTGGACAAGGGAAGAAATTTCAAATATTTTCCCACTAATTTCCGCTCATTTTCTCCTTGGTTTGAGAGCGGTTAGGGGCATTTATGTCATCGTAATATTACTTGTTTAATATTTAATTTTCAAATATTTTCTCACTAATTTCCTCTCATTTTTCTACTCAGTTTGAGAACTGGTAAGGGTATTTATGTCATATATAGTTAGAGGAGTTAACCCTAGGGATTAAGCGATCTCTCTCTCTCTCTCTACGCTAGTGGGTGCAATTTGGGGCTTGTGGGTGTGCTCCCTCCAGGTTTCAGATTCAACTCCCACTAAGTGCTATCAATTCCTTAGGGCTACGCCTGCATGCTCTGCCCGAGATTCACTTGATCCACATGGAGAGGGTACTTTGCATGGGTCTTAGGACGGGATTAGTCGAGGTGCATGTAAACTGGTTTGGACACCCGATCATCAAAAAAAAAAAAAAAAAGAAGCTCTCTAACAACAAGGGCAAGTCAAAGAAGGAAAGAATTATAAATTAAAAAAAACTCGTCTTTTCTCTTCCTTTTGCCAAAAGGTAAAAATCCAAAGACAAGGTTCATAATTCATACAAAGCTTAATGATTTGGCTACTTTAACTGAAAGAGTACATGAATAAATGGCATTAGATTTAAGGACTGTAGAGCAACTGTACAAGAGGCAAAGAAAGCCTTTTCATGCCTCTCTTCATATTGCAATTCTTAATTAAAATGAAACAATTTTGAAGGAAAAACTTAAATTCAATAAAAAAAAATAACATGAAATTACAAGTACATCGAACTTATTATGCTATGTGCACTAGTCTTTTTTATATCATGAGATAGTCAAGATGAGATGCATAGCAACAACCTTTTGTCTCTTATCATATTGATTCAAAAAATTAAAAAGAAAAATGTCCCCCATGCTCACATGCAAATGAAATTGCTAACAAAGTCTAAAAAGTTCAACAAAAAATCCTAAACTGCATTTTGATTATATCACCAGCTTTGTCCACTGCCGGATACAATTTGTGAAAAGACAAATAAAATTCACATAGCATCTATGTGACATAGAAGAAAGACATTGCGCATCTCAGCAACGTAAAATGCAAATAATATATATCAATTTAATATGAAGTAGGCCAAAGCTCTTACAACCTTAAAAAGCAGTGCCCGGTGGCGTGAAAGTCCAACATCAAGACAACCAAGGGGAAGAATAATATTGTTCAAAGAACTACGCAGCTCATGACTCCTCAAAGACCACCTTTTCAACAATTTGTCTGCATCTCTAACCGGACCACCCATCCTATCAACAACAAGATCAGCAATCATTTGGATCAAGCCACTAATAATTGGATCCTGTTCCAAAACCTGTGTTCCACAGAAACAGCATTACACTCTTTCCTCAAGCTGTGCAGCGCAGATCAACATTCCGGTTCACTAGAATGACTTCAAAATCAACATTATCTGAAACAGAAATTGCTTGGAGATCTAGCAGATGTGGGATCTTCTCTCTCATGTCTGAATTTGAATTAAAACCATACATGTCATAAAACCCATCCATCACTTTCTCGTCATAATTCACAAAATTATAACTCTGCATATGCCAAATAGCAAATATATGATTTTCCTCATTTAGCCAAATCCCCATATAAACAACATGATAAACACAGAAAACAACTAAGTAATTAGTACAATTCCCACAAACTAATAATAACTTCCAAGTCAAGATAAACACAAACATAGGCACACATAAAAACAAGTAATCTATATAACTTTTAACATCCACAATTTACAAGAGCAGCTAATATATAAAATTCAATAGTATGAATCACGAAACTATTGAAACTATAATTGCACAAAAAAAAAACCGTACATATCTATACTATTATATAAAACGCACAACTCTTTGAAACTTTGTCAGGAGTTTTTCTATGCCTAAAATACCCTTTCAAATCTCACCGCTTCAAACTTAGTGACTGCCATGATTGATCTAATGGCTTCACACACACACACGTGGTGTGGCTCTAGTAGTATATGGTTTAAAAATGGGCTGCAATTGTTGGATCGAAGCTGTGTCCCATTGGGTGTTGGATCGAATTAGTGAAGTTAGTCGTTGTTTGGGCTTGTCTTTTGAGGGCCACGAAGATGAGGCAATGCGACTTTTTGCTGCAGTGGAGGCTTCATGGAGGCTAGGGACTCCCAGTTCAGGGGTGTCTCGATCTTTGGTGACCCCTTCTAAAGGACATCGGGAGCTCAAGAATTTGGAATGTTCTGTGAATTATGATCATGGGGTGCGGACTGTAGGTCGGGGTGGAAGGCGAGATCGGAGGGGCCCATTGTTGTTAAAATGAAGTTAAAAATTGTTTCGTGGAATGTGCGGGGGTTGAATGATAGGGATAAGAGGGTGGCAGTGAAGGCGGTATTACGGAGTGCCAAACCGGACATCGTATGTTTACAAGAGACGAAGATGGAAGAGGTGGGAGTGGAGTTGATTCGCGAGGTGTAGGGGGGGGGAGGTTTGTGGAGTGGACCTTTTTGCCCTCGTTAGGCACGGCAGGGGGGGTTCTTCTCTGTTGGGATAAGAGGGTAGTGGTGAGGGAGGAGGAAGAGATAGGAGGATTTTCTGTCTCTTGTTTGTTCCGCTGTGTGGAGGATAATTTTCGGTGGGGTTTCACTGGGGTATATGGGCCTGTGCAGGTTTCAGAGCGGGGTTGGTTTTTCGAGGAGATGGAACACATAGCTTTTCGCTGGGATGTCCCATGGTGTGTAGGGGGTGATTTTAATGTTGTTCGTTGGCCATCGGAGAAGGCGGGGCCTGCGAGGAGTTCGGGGGCTATGCGGGCTTTTTGTTCTTTCATTGATGATTTACAGTTGGTTGATCTGCCTATCCAGGGGGGTAGCTTCACTTGGTCAAATGGTCGGAGCTTGTCTCGAATTGATCGGTTCTTGGTTACTGTGGGCTGGGAGGAGCACTTTTCTGAGGTGGTTCAACTTCGTTTACCTCGACCTGTGTCTGATCATTGGCCAATTTTGTTGGATAGTGGGGGGATCCGACATGGTCCTATGCCATTTCGTTTTGAAAATATGTGGTTGCAACAAGAGAGTTTTCTAGAGTTGGTTTGTGGTTGGTGGCATAGCTACGAGGTTCGTGGTTCCCCTAGTTGTGTGGTGGCTCAAAAATTGAAGATGCTGAAAGCGACCTTAAAGATTTGGAATAAGGAGGTGTTTGGTCGGCTAGAGGGCCAAAAAGCTGCAGTCGTGTCTTTACTTCAATCCTTGGATGAGCTGGAGGTGCAAGATGAGTTGCCTTCTGAGGCCGTTATTCATAAGGAGGCGGCTAGATAGGATTTTGTTCGTATATCCCGTATGGAAGAGATTTGTTTTCGTCAAAAGTCTAGATGTTTGTGGTTAAAGGATGGGGATCGAAATACAAAATTCTTTCACCGTATGGCTAATGCTAATCGAAGGGTTAATCAGATTAGTAGGTTAAGGGTGGATGGTCGGGAGCTGGACACCGATAGCGAGATTCGGGAGGGGGTTGTAGGCTACTATCAGCATTTATTCTGGCCTCAAGAGGGGGTTTGGCGGCCGGGTTTGGAGGGTGTTCAGTTTGCTACGATTATGGGAGAGGATCGGGAGAGGTTGGAGCGAGCTTTTATAGAGGAGGAAGTGTTTGGAGCGTTGCGGGCTATGAGTGGGGATAAAGCCCCAGGTCCGGATGGTTTTACTATGGCTTTTTTCCAACATTGTTGGAGCGTAGTTAAGGGTGATATCATGGCAACTTTGGAGGATTTCCGGGTGTCTGGGCATTTTGAGAAAAGTTTTAATGCAACTTTTTTGGCCCTGATTCCTAAGAAAGGAGGGGCAAATGATATTTAGGATTTTCGGCCTATTAGCTTGTTAGGAAGTGTGTATAATAAGTTATTAGCTAAAGAGCTGGCTAATCGTTTACGAGGAGTTTTATCGATTGTGGTGTCAGAGTCCTAGAATGCGTTTGTTGGAGGAAGGCAGATTTTAGATGCAGTATTGGTTGCCAATGAATGTGTGGATTCTCAGCTTCGTCAAGGATGTCCTGGTTTGATTTGCAAATTGGATATTGAGAAGGCGTATGATAATGTTAATTGGGACTTCCTCTTGTATGTATTGGATCGTATGGGCTTCGAGGCGACTTGGTGTCAGTGGATCAAGTTCTGTATCTCGACTGTGCGGATGTCGGTGTTGATTAATGGGACTCCGGCGGGTTTCTTTCATACTCATAGAGGTCTTCAGCAGGGGGATCCTTTGTCCCCCCTGTTATTTATCTTAGTGATGGTGGCGTTGAGTAGATTGTTGGATAAAGCTGTGCGTGAAGATTTATTGGAAGGTTTCGTTGTGGGTTCTTTGGAGGGGATTCCTTTGGGGGTTTCGCATTTGTTGTATGCGGATGATGCCTTGATCTTCTGTGGTGCGGAGGCAGCATAGGTTGGTTATTTGCGTTGTGTTTTGCTTTGTTTTGAGGTGGTTTCGGGCCTTCGTGTTAACTTGCGGAAGTCGGAGCTCATTTCAGTGGGGGCGGTTGCTAGGTTACCTGTTCTAGCTGCAGTATTGGGGTGTAAGGTCCCGGCTTTGCCAGTATCCTATTTGGGTTTGCCTTTAGGGGCTTCTTTTAAGGCAAAGAGGGTGTGGGATGGAGTAGTGGAACGGGTCCAACGTCGTTTGGCAGGTTGGAAGTCCCAGTATCTTTCGAAAGGGGGCCGGTTGACTTTGCTTAAGAGTGTGTTGAGTAGTATCCCCACTTATTTCATGTCGATCCATGTTATTCCAGTGTCGGTGGCACATCGGTTAGAAAAGCTTCAGAGGAACTTCTTGTGGGGAACTGGTGGTGATGATTTTAAGTATCATTTGGTTGATTGGGGTAAGGTTTGTCAACCCAGGCAAGCTGGAGGGCTGGGGGTTCGATGGTTGGTGACTTTTAACCGAGCTTTGCTAGGGAAGTGGATCTGGCGTTTTGCTTTGGAGCCTTACAGATTGTGGCGGCAGGCGGTGGCGTCTAAATATGGGCTGGGCAGAGGGGGTTGGGTTTCTGGATCTGTGACCTGCACTTATGGGTGTGGTTTATGGAAATGGATTATGTTGGGAAGGGTAGAGTTTTGGAAGTAGATAGGGTTTAAGGTGGGGGAAGGGAGTCGGGTGCGGTTTTAGAAAGACTTGTGGTGTGGGAAGTTGGTGTTGGAGACCTATTTCCCTTTGATTTTTAATATTGCATTAGATCAAGATGCTTTGGTGGCTTCCTATTTGGATGGTGGGAATGTGGTTGTTTGGAATATTCAGTTATGCCGACAGGTTCATGATTGGGAAGTCGCTCAGTTGGTGGAGTTGTGGGGTTTTTTATATGGTTTGGATACGGTATGGGTGGGCCCTGATGTATTGGTTTGGACTAGGTTGGGGGCAAAAGGGCAGTTCACAGTAGCATCATTTTATCAGGGGTTGATGGGAGATGCTGGTTGGGTCTTCCCTTGAAAAATTGTTTGGGTTCCTAGGGTTCCGACTAAGGTCGCCTTTTTCATGTGGACAGTCGCTTTAGGTCGGAACCTTACTTTGGACAATTTGATGCGGCGGGGACACATCCTCGTTAATCGGTGTTGTATGTGTTGCGCGGATGCGGAGTCAGTAAATCATTTGTTTCTTCATTGCTCGGTGGCTTCGGGTTTGTGGGGCTTTGTTTGTTCACTTTTTAGAATTGCTTGGGTCCAGCCACAAGGGGTGTTTGATTTCCTTTGGGCTTGGCGGGGCGTTCGTCTTGGTCAGCGGCGGCGGCGGCGAGCTTGGTTACTGGCTCCATTCTGCTTGATGTAGTTGCTTTGGTTGGAACGGAATCAACGTACCTTCTTAGCGGTTTCTCAGAGTGTTTCTTGGTTACAAAGTCGTCTTTCTCTAGTTTTGTATAATTGGTTGGAGGATAGGGTAGATCCGGATTTATTTACGTTTTTAGACTTTCTTGATAAGGTGATTGGTTAGTCCTTATTTTTTTGTTCCGTTTGTTGGAGGTTTTCTTGTATTGGTTGCATCGTCTTGATACTTTCTTAATAAAATTTGCTTATTTATCAAAAAAAAAAAAAAAACACTGTGAAAAACCCACTAGCCTTTTTGTACTTGGACAGTTCTTTCATAGTGTAGATCATGTGATTTAAAACATAATTCATTTCTGCTCTAAAAAAGTAAAACTAAATTTGCTGATCTCAGAATTTAATTCTTTTTCTTCATTTCATTTTATTTTATTTATCCAGCCACAAGGGGTGTTTGATTTCCTTTGGGCTTGGCGGGGCGTTCGTCTTGGTCAGCGACGGCAGCGGCGAGCTTGGTTACTGGCTCCATTCTGCTTGATGTGGTTGCTTTGGTTGGAACAGAATCAACGTACCTTCTTAGCGGTTTCTCAGAGTGTTTCTTGGTTACAAAGTCGTCTTTCTCTAGTTTTGTATAATTGGTTGGAGGATAGGGTAGATCCGGATTTATTTACGTTTTTAGACTTTCTTGATGAGGGGATTGGTTAGTCCTTATTTTTTGGTTCCGTTTCTTGGAGGTTTTCTTGTATTGGTTGCATCGTCTTGATACTTTCTTAATAAAATTTGCTTATTTATCAAAAAAAAAATGGGTTGCAATTGTTAACTTATGTAACCATATGGGCAGTTGCTGCTACCTGTTATGGCTGAATTTCACAAGTGCAACGGCTACTACCATTATGTAAAACCCATAATTGGTCGTTACGACACCATTAAAAATCATATAAAATTTAGTACTAAATCCTCCAAAAAAAAACATTTCAAACCTCAACAAACGTAATTTCATAGCTTTGGTTCCTGCACCAGTTATGCTAAGCCCGTTACACCTCAAAACGGCATCAACGCCACCGTTACTTGAAACCTTTTATATGTACACAAAAATAACTATAGTAGAATCTAATCAATTTGAAGCTATGAATCAAATATAAAATTGAAATGTGACTCATTAATATCCATAAACAAAAAAACACAGATCTAGAGTGAGAATATTGAAGCAATTCGATCAAATTTGTCAATAAATGCAACGAAAGCACATATAAAAGATTGCCAAATACAATGAAAAAAAAAAAACAAAATTAAAGCATTACCCAATACCGAAGAGAGAGAGATTCAGCCAGGGTTTCAGAAGGCACACACCCCAAGCTAATCTGCTTGGCGGCCTTGATCTGCGCCGTTTCAGGATCTTCGCGTGCATCGGGATCGGAAACACTGATCGCTAGGGCAAGTTGCACCTGAAACTCCTCTTCAAAGAAATTGAAATCAGCCGAATTCTCCGCCGACTCAACCGCTCCGATTCTCGTCAATGCCGATTCCAACGAAGCCGAAGAAGAAGACGACGGCGGCGTCACTTCCGCCGTCTGCGGCGGCGACGGGTGGTGGTTGTCGTTGTTGCAGCCACCGCCGATGTGAAGCTTTCGTAGCAGATGCTTCATCTTAGGCATCGCCGATCGAGTCGCATCCAGATACAGGGCACAACACAACTCCTCTCTCTCTCTCTCTCTTTCTCTTTCTCTCTCTACTGGTTTAACGTGCGCAGAGTGATTGGCTTAACGTGCGCACCTTCGTCGTCGTCGTCAAGGTTCGATCACTGGGACTTAATTAAATTAACTGCTCAACCCTTCCCTCCAATTGACTGTATAGTCTGGGAAATAAAAAATCAAAGCTAGTATTTATAATTTAAAGTCAAGATTGTAATTTAAGGTGCGGTGTATTGGCCTACAGTGCGTTGAGGGTGCATCGCTTTTGATGGACCTTCATTGTTTGTTATTAACCGTTGATCGAATAGTCAAATGTTTTTGTATTGTGGTTGTTGATGATCGGACGGTTTGTGTTGATTTGGTCGTTTAGTGGAATGCCGACATCCCATGTAGGACAATCCTATCTACAAATGGTCCGCCTGAGGGTAAGGGTAATTACACTTACCTCATGTATAAACAAAAAAATTCTTATTAGTTTAATATAATGTAATTATATTAATTTTTTTTAAATTTTAAATTATTTAATACTTAGAGTGAGTTGACTTTTTTAACTTTTTTTGCTATTTTAACTTGGGGTTAAGCTTTTTAGCTTTTTTAATTTTTTTGAGAAAAATAAAGTAATGATTATGAATTGAACGTGACATTTTATCTTATTAAGTTAAAAAATTTATTTTGTTTTTTTGTGATTAAAATAGTCCAAAGCCAACCTAACTCAAATTGCCAAATGAAAGGCTTATATAACATCTAAAGTTTTAATATTTTCATTTTATTTTCCAAAGATATTTAACTTTACAATCAAAGGACCATAGAGAAAGAGATAAGTCGTTAAGAATTTACTTACAAGTTTAACGAAAAAAGAAATTTGTATGAAATTTGTATTTAGCCTGAAGGCCAAGACTCACTATTGATCAAATCCGACCCATATAAAGCTCACAAAATTCATACCATCATATGTTCTATACAATGAATGATTATGTAACGTTATTTTGTAGTGAGAGATTGCGAATTTTACTATCTTTTGTGATATTTAGTTATTCTCATTATGAAGGCTATATGTTGTTATTAATTTATTGATTATTTTTAATGATGGTTGTTGGGCTAAATAATTGTGGGCTTTTTAAATATTATTCAACTTTTATTATATAATTTTATATAATACTCTAGTATTTGTAGTTACTCTCTTATTAATTAAAAAAAAAAAACTACCTGCACAACAACAGATTTTCACATCTCACGCGTACCTTCAATACTTGTGCCAAAAAATCAAGATCAACTGTAGAGGTTTACTGTCCTGTATCTGTTCCAATTTTCTCCTTTATTTACACTTATTGTCGATTTAACGTTTCAATTTTTACTCAAGTAGAAGTTTAAGGGAGAAAAAATGTAATTTACCTTTTGTTTATTAGAAATAAAGTTGTAGGCTAAGGTTGGTTAGTGCGTTTTGATTATCAAATTGTGTGTTTGGTTTCAATTTTTTGAATTTAATTTTTTTTAAATTGAATTTTTATTTTTCATATTTTTTTTCTTATTTTTAGTGAATATTTTTAAAATTATAAGTATTTCTTTTATACTTTTTTAGATGTAACTTATTTAGATATATCTAAAAAGTAAAATATTTGAGAAAAATATTTTAAAAAATTAACAAATACACAAAAATATAAAAAATATACTGAATTTTGATTTTTTAAAAAAAATATTTTTCGTATTTAGTAGATTTTTCTCACAAATATTATATTTTTTAAGTGTATTTATGTTAGGTGTGTTTAAATATTTTTAAAATTACTTAAAATATTTTTAAAATTCTGTGAAAAAAAAAGGAAAATACAAAAAATTCTGAAAAATGAATTTTGAAAATCAAAACCAAACAAAGTGAATAAAATTTTAGAGATATTTTTCTCCATATTTCATTTTATTTTGGCATATTAGCAAAAATTTTGATGCAATTACTCGTAGTATGCATGATGAATTAACAAGTTTAAAGTAGAAAAATGATTGAGAGCTTTAATAAAGGAGTTCTAATAGAAATGGACCCTACTGTAATGTGATGTTTTGATTTTATTTTTTTATTTTTTTTTATTTTCTGTCATATTATTAGAACTCAATTAGAGCTCTAAAATTAAAAACATGTATCATTACTCTTTAAAGTATGATTTTGTATCCTTATTCATGTGTGTGAATCAATATATAAAAAATTATTATTTCAATCTCTATGGGCTTCATACCTCTCCCTATTATTGGGTAGTTTGAAATCAGCCCGCTATATTTCGAGTACAACTAATGTTATCCCACGTTCAAATCAGCAAGTAAAATTGTAAAGCAAACCACTGGTGATTCATTTAGTTTGGAGAATGTTTTTATAAATTAATTAATTTTATTGATTTAAAAAAAATAGGTTTAATATATTATTTTAAAATTAAATTTTTGGTTATACCTTTATTTTTATTCTGTTTCATTCTTTTTCTTTTCTTTTTTATTAGAAATATAAGATATACAACTTATAAGAATTAAATTTGGAATTAATTTTTATATGTGAACTTTTTTTATTTGGAAAGACTTCAATGTGAGATTCTTTAAACATTTTAAAAGGAATATAAAAATGACTTCAAATATAGAATTCTTCAAATATTTCAAAAAGAGTACAAAAATTCCTTAATAAATTTTGAATAAATGTATAACTTCAAACTGTAACACTCTAATGTAACACGTAAACGTAATACTCCAATGTAACACACAAAAAAACTTCTCAGTATACTTTTTTCAAACGTAATACTTCAAAAAAAGATGTGAGATTCTTCAAACCATTCCAAAAAAACTACAAAATTCCTTATTAAGCTTTGGATAAATATATAATTTCAAACTATGAGTGTTACATTTGGGAAAAGTGCACTAAGCAGTTTCTTAATGTTTTTGTGTGTTATAATAAAGTGTTACGTTTGGGATTATATTGCTTAGAGTGCTACGTTTGAGAAAAGAACATTAATAAGTTTTTTTGTGTGTTACATTGAAATATTATGTTTGAAAAAAAGTATACTGAGAAGTTTTTTTGTGTGTTACATTAGAGTGTTGCGTTTGAAAAAAATACATTAAGGAATTTTTTTGTATTTTATATAAGAGAATTACGTTATTGGTATGTTATATTAGAGTATTACGTTCTTATTCGTAATATGAGATTTGTTCCAAAAAGAGGAAAAATCCAAAAACTCTAAAGTACAAATTGCCCAAATGTGTAATTTCACATCTAGAAATCCACTTTTTATCTCTTAAAAATTAAAGTGACTATATTTTTATGTAATTTCTATTTTAATGGGGCCTTTGGATTCATAAGAAAAAAAAGGAAGGATTAAACAATTTACAAAATCACATTTCAAGATTTATTAGTATTTTACCCTAAAAGTTATTTTGAGATCAAGTCGTTACATAAACAAAAATTAAATTTTAGCATATTTTAAAGTACAATAAATTCTTTGATTGGTTAAATTGAAACTCGTTTAGGATCAACTCAAGAAATAACCAAGAAAAAAAATGCATTTCTTTCACCAGGCTAATGTGATGGTATATCAATTACAATAATGATGAACCATATACCAGAACTATATATATTATCAGAGACCTCCCAACAGATTCTGATACCAGAATAACAGAAGCCCAACAGACCAGGTTTCCTACCACTCTATTAAATTCCGACTAATTTACTGAATACGTTCATAAAATAATCAAATTCTGATTAGACAAATAATGGTATATGTAGCTTCTCAAATTAGAAATCAAATAGAGCTAAAGGAAGAAAAACTGATAATTACAACATTTGAGCTGCAGTTAGCAACAATTGTTATTGGAGCAGCTGATTATGAATATAAAATAAGATAAAAAGTCAGCTTCCATAAAAGAAGCATATGAACATGTTTTTTCTTTTTTTTCTTTTTATATACATGAGGTTATAAAATATGAAGGAATTTTGAGATCTGCAGTGCGGTGTTGTACTGAAGATTAAGCCATAGCAGCAGCTTGTTCTTCAACAACCTGTGATGCCGGGAGAAGGGTGCAGATAAGGTTGCGGTCACCGTACACATTGTCGACACGCCCTGATTGTGACAGCCACAGCATCACAAAATTAGACACCATTCAGGCCATAATAGTTTATTGAAAAAAAAAAAAAAAAGCTGTGAAATGAAAATGGGAAGCCAATAGTAAGAAAAAAGTTATCAGAAAAAGAACTAAATCGAGTGAGAAAAAGTAGCATATGATAGAATAAAACGAGAATTTGTTGTCATTTAAGAATATGTGTAATATTTAAAAATTGGTTTTGTTTTCTTTACAAACATATTCAGAGGAATTTGTCAAATTGAATCTTCACACAGAAGATGCAGAGTAGGAGATGATCAGAAATGGCTTTAAAAGAGAATTATGTGATGGTAGGGTTACTTTTTGAAGGGAAAAAAATGGGCGACCAGAGAGGGAAACACACCTGTGGTAGGCCAGAACTTGGATGAGTGGAGCCAAGGAGCAGGGAAGGCAGCATATTCCCGAGAGTAAGGTTTTGTCCATGCATCTGCCATGAGCAGTGATGGTGGATGAGGAGCTCCCTGCACTTACACTAGTCAGTAAATTCCTCTGAATAATTTCACGAATTCAAAACATAATTGCCAGCAAGCATAGAACTCCATTACATAAGATATACCAAAAAATTATGATAATGCAATTTTGAAGTCTCATAGTTATCAAAAAGAAAATAATCCAACAGCCTTGATGTAGAACAATCCGATTTACCTTGAGGACATTGTTGTTAATATCTGCTTTTCCTTTCTCAATCTGTGCAATTTCTTCTCTAATGGAAATCAGAGCATCACAAAACCTGTCTAGCTCCGCCTGTACCAGGAAGTAAAAGCATTTTCAGAGCTCAAGAAAATGGAAAAAGATAGGGCAACAGAAAATTCCTCCAAGATGAAGCGCACCTTGCTCTCACTTTCAGTAGGTTCAATCATGAGTGTGCCTGGAACAGGCCATGACATTGTTGGTCCGTGAAATCCATAGTCCATAAGACGTTTAGCAACATCTTCAGCCTCTATACCAGCAGTATTCTACAAGGATATCAGCTTGTAATCAATCAAAGGAATAAACAAATAATAAAAGTGGTGTTTAAGGTGAATGTTAGTAAGAGCTACCTTGAAGCCCCTCAAATCGACAATGAATTCATGAGCGACTGTTCCATTGACACCGCGGAAAAGAATGGGGTAATGGTTCTGTTAAACCAAAACAAAACAAATTAATGCATGTAGGCAGTTAAGCAAAATGATCTATGAACTTGTGCTAAAGAGGAGTGAGTAATAGCTCAAACAAAATTTGGAATAAGGATAAACACAAAACCGATACGAGCACAAAGCACAAGTCATAGTTTTGATTGGAGGAGAGTTAAAGGGCAGTCTGTCACCTAATGTGACACACCCTGTGTTGCACAATTAGTGCTTCAATTTTCATGATTCTCGTGCTTAAAAGACTAAAATGCAAAAATAATCAAGGCAGAAGCAAGGACCTCCAATCGTTTTGCCATGTAGTTTGCATTCAAGATAGCTATCTTTGATGCTTCTGTCAACCCCTTGGACCCCATCATGGCAATGTAGGTGTATGATATAGGCAAAATAAGTGCAGAACCCCAAGGCGCAGCAGAAATGGTACCAAGTGGTTGAATCTTGTCAGGCAACGGTATACCTCCTGTAGTTACCTATAGTTTATGATAATGAAGTGATCATTAACTGGACAATGTAGTATATATAAGTTGTTCAATATGAATAAAATTCAGAATGTAATAGAATCCATTGCTTCCATTGCGTCACCAAAAAACACTAATACCTCAGTGAATTATGAATTTGGTACGCACTTTCAGAAACATGGTACATTTCCATTTGAAAATGTTAAATTTAGTGATCGGAATAGATCCCAAAAGTTTTTCCAAAATATTTCTTTAGGAGGAAAAAAAATTAAATACAATAAACTAATATAAGGTGAGTTAAGTTTTGACAAGACAAAACATAAAAAATGAGTTATAAATTATAATGCTCATAGAAATGTTTTGCTACATGAAAAAAAAAAAAAAAAACACTCTACATTTTATTGGATGCCTAATAGTTAGGAAAGAAAATTACTCTAGAAGTTTCTTAAATTCTCAAGTGTAATATATGCAAGTCTATCCCTATTGAACCACATTTTAGAGCATGTGGCATATCACGTTCCCGTTCCCATTCCATGTATCAGAATGATCCACGTTCCAGTAACATATTCCACATTTACACAACCCATTCAAAGTTAAAAAATTCATGGAATCATCCATTTTAAGTTATTAAACCACTCAAACTTTCACTTGCTTAACAGTGATTCTCTGGTTTATTATCACCACCTACAACACAAATTACAAATGGTGGTAATAATATGGTTTTCATATCTTTCGGTGTTTATTATATGTGATATAGGGATACACGTGACATTTATTTTTCTTTTTATGGACAATTTTGGTATTATAAAAAATACACAATCAATCAATTTGTTTCTCGCAAAATTCACAACTTTTAGTAAGAAATTAAACTTTTAAAATAAAAGAGTTATTTTTCACATCATTACTCATCTAACTTATAAATCAAATATGAAAAAATAGTTCCACTTCTCTTCATTTCCTATTATTTCTCACCAAATCAATCGATCCAAACAAACGGTTAAACTGGCTATCAGAGATAAGAAAAGTCGGTCAAATTTTATGTTCACTAATGCTATAAATACTAACTAGTGTATTAACAAATATATCAATTACACATAATATTAAGTAATTGTGAGACAAACTTCCCAGCAAACAGCAGATTTTGGAAAATTATTGAACACTAAACAAAAATATATTTTAATAGATACAAATCAGTCACCAAATAAAAGAAAAATTTAATCTTAGAATGCGTTGACAGTGTGTTTTTTCTATGAGGAAAAGTGAAAGAAGAAAAGAAGAAGAAGATATGGCGTGTGTTTGGTACGGATACAACAAAAATATAAAAACAGAACACAGAAATCAACTTAGAATCAATAGCAGTTGATAGAAACAACATACGACATCTGCGGCATTTCTCAACTGGGAGTGGTAAATCGAGTTTCTATATGATACTAACAGAGAAAAAAAATTACATTAAATAACACATACCACAGGATGTGATGGCAGAAAAGGTGCCAAGTGTTTTTTCACACCAATGGGACCCATGCCAGGACCACCTCCACCATGGGGAATACAGAAAGTTTTGTGGAGATTAAGATGGCAAACATCAGCACCAATCCAACCCGGGCTAGTCAAACCAACCTGTAAGGAAACAGAATTTATTCAAAACTATATGCAGACTGCAACAAAGCCTTGTAAAAGGGGTAAAGATGAAAGACTGAAAATGAATTATAGTAGAAGCAAAACAACCATGCGTTGCAAAAAAAACCATGAAAGATGAAAAAATGAAAAGAATTAGAAAACAAATAATTTCTCATCAAGCAGGGACTTCAAATTCTAATTTCTAAGAAACTTTCACCAAAAAAAGAAAAAGAAAAAAAAATTCACAGCAGAGATCAACAATTTATTTTCTTTCATGCGATTGATTAGGATGAATTTTTATTTTTTATTTTTGGCAAGAAATGATTGAAAAAGTTAGCTTTGTAGTTCAAAAAGCATGAAAGTTGAAAAGAAAATCTTATATTTTACCTAGTTGCCCTTATCCATTTTAAACAAATGGATGGAGCCATGGACAAATCTAGAAAGTGTGATAATTGTTCACCACTTTTGTGGAAAACAATTCCCTGCATATTTTGTGGGAAACCAAAATCCAAGTTTAGAAGCTTATGAGAGTCGTACAAAAAATTTCACTGTCCAACACTTTCTAGGACTCTCTTGCTCAACAAACAACAAAAAAGTCAGATTTGTTTTCTCTTCTGTTTCCTGCATTTTCCATCACTCAAATGGACAATAAATGAAAAGATAATAAAAAGGAAGCACATGAACCTGCAACAAACAATCACACATACATAAATGATAGTTGACATAATTTTGTGTTTAGAATTTTGAGAACTGTAATGAACATATCAAAAGAGACAGAGTCTGCAAGACAATAGAAAAATAAACAAACCTGTGCATTCATGTTGGCCCCATCCATGTAAACTTGACCCCCGTTGTCATGAATTATCTTACATATCTCATCAATGCCTTCTTCGTAAACTCCATGGGTTGAAGGATATGTAACCTGAAATTTAAAATTACAACAAATAATCAATCTATAAAAGCAATACACTAAAAACTACCATACCCCAATGTGAACTACAATACCATAAAGGCAGACAGGTTCTCCTTATTTGCGTCAGCAGCCTTCCTTAACTCTTCAATGTTGATGTTTCCCTTGGCATCAGTTCCCACAGAAACAATTTTCATTCCACACATTGCAGCACTTGCAGGATTTGTCCCATGCGCAGAGACAGGTATAATGCAAACATTGCGATGATGGTCTCCTCTCGCCTACAGCGTCAATTAAATGGTGATTAGCATAGACATTTCACCAAAAAGCTTGTTACATCTTCAAAACTTTTATTTTATTTTATTTTTTATTTTATAAAAATGCAGTGACATATGGTGATATCTCCCCTAGACATGTGAGGCATATAGCAGCAAATGCTCATTTTCAATACATTAAACATGTCAGATCATCAAATAACTTGAGAAACTCTATCAAATTGCACAGAAGTCAGGTAAATATAGCAAGTTCTACTTTTAAAAATCCTTCATATAGTATACAGACTCGGAAGAAGTTGAAATTCCTTAACACCTTAAAATTAATATATATTTTGTCCTATTTTTATTAACATATATGCTTAGCCTGTGTATCTTATTTGTTTATGAAAGCATACAAAGTGCCCTGGTCAATTTCAAGTGAAATTGAAATTTTGACAAGTACCTCATGAGCACTTGGTATCAGAAAATTCTAGCATCAAAACGTCAATTGAGAGGTGTTCTTTGGGGTTTCTGCCTAGAGGTGAGCCTCAAGAAGAATCATAACAAGCATTCCGTTACGACCCCACCAATACATTGCTCCCAGAAAGAAAAGAAAAAAAAATAGTTTATCAATGTATTTGATGCCGAATCCAGATCTTCTACTGTGATTTTTCGTAGAGTGATTTTTTAAATAGATGAGATTTAATTCTACAAAAGTTTAGGGTATAATAGTACTAAGTTGAGGGTACAATAGTATTAATAATCACTTTAAAAAAATCTCAACCATACAAAAAATCACTCTAAGATCACTTTACAAAAAATCACTCTAGAGGATTTGGACTCTTTGATGCCACCATACCTTGTGATATGCACGAATGACCATGAGACCAGCATACTCGCCAGCAGCGCCAGCATTGGGTTGCAAAGAGAAAGAATCAAAACCAGTGATGGTACACAATGATTCACCCAAATCTTTGAACATTTCCTGATAAATACAACACCACAGTCTATTTGTTAGAAACCGTAAATTTGGTTTTTACTTTTTTATACACATGATAACATACCACTTCAGTTGGAAGTTTGTGGTGGAAAAAACATAAAAAGAAAAAAAAAAAAAAAAAAAAAAAACATTTGTATTACCTGAAAACCTTCAGCCTGCTCAGTAGGAGCGAATGGATGAATATCACTAAAGCTAGGCCATGTCACAGGCATCATCTCTGTTGTTGCATTCAACTTCATCGTACAAGAACCCAAGGGAATCATGCTATGGCATAGTGAAAGATCTTTTGATTGTAGTTTATGAATGTATCTAAGCAGCTCATGCTCTGTGTGGTACCTAAAAATGCAAATGAAAGTCAGATCGTTTTTTTTTTTATTTTTTTTTTTAAAGTTATCGGCAGTAAAAGTTCAGTGGAAAGGCTCATACGAGTTGAAGATTGGGTGAGTCAGAAAAGGGCTCTGCCTTACAAGGTCTGGAGGGATCATATTATGAACCTCTGGTGTGATAGATGCAGCAGTAAATGGTACCTGATAATTAACATAAAAGGTTTTATATTGATGCTGTCAGGAAAAAAAAAAAGAAAATTACTGATATTACAGAGTGGAGATAAAATAAGCAATACTTACTGGTTTGCCACATGCGAAAACTTTAAACAGCTTATCCACATCCTCTAAGGTGGCTGTTTCATCAAAAGAAACAGTGATCTGAAAGCAAAAAAATAAATAAAATAAAAATGTACTCCAGTTTGCTCATAGTGTAGATTCATCAATTATGAAACAAAGTAAACACTTTAAATCACACTTACGGTATTTTGGTCAACAATCCGCAGATTCATCTCACTCTTGTAAGCAGCATCCACAATTGCCTTGGAATCAGCACATTTAACTTTCACAGTGTCGAAGAAGGAAAGCCCCTGAACTTCTACTGTCCCGAGTTTCTTCAGTCCAGCAGCAAATGTCCCAGCAAGAGCATGTGCCCTTTGGGCAATGGTTTTAAGGCCTTCTGGACCATGGTAGACAGCATACATAGCAGCCATGTTTGCAAGCAACGCCTACATAGCAGGACAATATTAATTCAATCAAATCCAATCAAGCAACTAAACTCATTATATACCAAGCAACTATCATGGGATAGCCAAACAGAAGTAGATGTTCCACAGTGAGATGTGCACCAAGAAGATTTGTTCTTTACACTTTTTTTTTTCCCTTTAATTTTTTCAATAGTGGAAGATCCTCTGACATTTTTTTATAAATACAACCCAACAACAAGATAAATTCAAACAGGTTCAGCTCTGACTGGGCCAATTTACAAAGCCTATAAAATATAAATAAATAAAAATCTCCTACCTGTGCAGTGCAGATATTGCTGGTGGCCTTGGCCCTCCGGATATGTTGCTCCCTTGTCTGCATTGCCATGCGCAGAGCAGGTTTTCCTGAAGAATCAATGCTCAAACCAATAATTCTTCCAGGCATTATCCTCTTGTACTCTTGCGAAGTGGCAAGGAAAGCTGCATGAGGACCTCCATACCCCATCGGAACCCCAAACCTCTGTGCCGAGCCAACAACAATATCTGCACCCAATTCACCAGGAGGCTTTAACATCGTCAATGCCAACAGATCACTTGCCATAATAACCTTAACCCCTTTCGCATGTGCATTCTTTATGAACTCCCCATAGTCCAAAACTTCACCCTCAGTTCCCGGATACTGTACCAGTACCCCACAAACATCGCCTGATTTGTAGTCAAAGTCTTTGAGATCAGCAACAACTATTTTAAGATCAAAACCGTCAGCTCTAGTCTTACAAACATCAATGGTCTGCGGGTGGCAGTTGCTAGCAATAATGAAAGTTTTCTTCTGCCCCTTGTGAATATTATTACACATAGCCATCGCCTCTGCTGCAGCAGTTCCTTCGTCGAGTAACGATGCATTTGACATGGGGAGACCGGTAAGATCCGAAATCATGGTCTGATAATTAAGCAGGGACTCGAGACGACCCTGCGCAATCTCAGCCTGGTATGGAGTGTACTGGGTATACCAACCCGGATTTTCCATAATGTTCCTCAAAATAACAGGTGGGACAAAGGTGTTATAGTAACCCATTCCAATAAAAGACTTATAAACCTTATTCTTAGAAGCTAATTTTTTCATTTGCTCAACCATTTGGTTCTCAGTTAAACCTTCATCAAACTTAGAAAACTTCATGTTTTCAATACGAATCGATTTAGGCACCGTGGCATCTATTAGCGAATCAAGGCTAGGGAACCCACAAGTTTCAGCCATTTTTGTTTGTTCTTCTGGGGTTGCAGAGTTATGGCGACGGGGAAAAGTATCACTTGGTTTCAAAGCCTCGATTGATACTGATCTAACTTGAGACCCAATACCGAATCCAACATTATATGACACATTCCTCCCTAGTAACACATCTGATCTGCTACTTTTTCCATGGAATACACAAGGAGACAATGAGGAAACATACCTCGAAGGCGAATACAACACTGGGGACGAAGAGGAAGAGCTAGTAATTGATTCATTCGGGCGGTGGTGCTTAGTCTCAGAAACCAGGCGTCTGAGAATTGGCCCGTTAGCGAGCCGCCGAGCACGTTCCATGAATCAAAAAATTTGAAAAAAAAAAATCACAATTTTTTTGGATATTCAACTACAATGTTGAACTCAAAACACAACCACCACACCTCCAATGAACCAACAACTAAAGATTCCAATAAAAAGCATTCTTTTTTCTTATTGGGTTTGTACTAAAACCATCAATGAGTGGTTGTGAGGGTAGTGAAATGGTGATAATAAACTGTCTTTATCTTATCCTGTGCATACATTTCATAGGACTCAATAAAAACTATAATCTATCAATATCAAGATCTGGTGGTGGTGGTGGTGGGTAAGGTGCGTAGGATAAGATAAACTGCGCACCGTTTGAAGAGACAAAAGTCAGGATCGGGCTTACGTGGAAATCTTGGGGTTGAGAGACCTGCGAGCCAATCGTTACAGTGAGTACGAAGTACAGAGAAAAAATCACTGAAATTGAATGGAAGGCATTGAATTGAGATTGGATTGGATTGAATTTCAATGGATCAAAATGCATTTCTATTTGGAATTATTATTCAAAAATAAAACCCCAAGAAATTTGAAAAAATTTAGATTCATTGTTGGCAGATTCTCTTTCACATTAGCCTTATCGCTATGTCTCACCTCACAAAACTAATATATATAGATTTATTTATATATTCACATCATCAATGTGCGTGGGAGTGCATGGTTGAGGATGAAATCACTAGGTTTAGGGTTTGAATGAATGAAACTCACTTAGATCAGATATTGATATAGCGTTTGGCAGAAGAGAAAATGAAATCTCATAAACTATCACTGTCAATTTTATTATGATATTGTCAAATTGAATATTATATAGCGGGGCTCATTGGATCAGATAGTGGTCACACAAGTTTGGGATTCTCGGATCTTCATTCACTGGATTGAAGGATATATATATAATTGATATATATATATATATATATATATATATGTATGTATGTATGTATGTATGTCTCTCTCTTGAAAATTATTTTAAAAATTAAAGCTGTGTTTGGCTTGGAGTTTTAATTATGATTCCATATCATATTTGAGCTCCGTGTATTTGGATGGAGTTTTTAAAATATATTTTCACACTACATTTGAAAACACTTTTGAGGTGGGATTTGGATTTTGAAATTTGACCTATCTGTATGTTCGGCCAATTGAATGGAACATTGTTTGGTTTTTTTTTTTTTTTTTTGTGTGTGGCAATTGGCACTTGTTATTTTTTTTATATTTTAAATAAAAAATATTTTTCAAAATTTTTTAAATTTTTTATGAACCTTTAATGGAATTTTGAATTTTGTGTTTAGTTACGAATTGTAAGTTTCTTAATCAAATATCATATATCATATCAAAAATTTCAAACTCAATTCAAAATTCTTTTCAAAATAATAACCAAACAAATTTTTCACACTCAAATCATAATTTCAAAACTCACAAAACTCAAAGTACAACTCTATTCTCAAAACATATTTATAATATTCTACCCAACGCTACCTAAAAGTCATAAATTTAATTTGTTTTTAATTTGTGAATGAGGCTTCATTTTAGGTTGGGTTATAAGTTTATTTTGTTAAAAAAATATATTTTAATTTAAGTACACGTCTAATTTACTTATTTTGGTAAAAAGTTAAAAGTAAAAAAAGAAATGTCATACAAATTAACTTATGAATAATGGGTGGGTGCTCGAAATTCGTGGGTTGAATTCGAAGAGGGAGAGAAGAAAGGAGAATGAGAAGAGAGGGAGATGGCGGGTGCTGGTTCTGCTGACGCCATCGCCTCGTCGCCTCGCCATCCTCGTCGCAGCCCTCTTGTGCCTCCGCCGCGAGGAGCTCGTCGCCTCTGCCCGCCGTCCTCGTTGCAGCTTCGCAGCTCGTCGCCTCCGCCTTCAGCCCTAATAATTGGGCCCCCTCCAGTCCTCCTCCTCCCTTCCCTTCTTCTTCTCCCTTCTCCTCCTCTTCTTCTTCTTCTTCTTCTTCTTCTTCTCCCCTCTTCTTCGTTTCTGATTAAACACAGGAAAAAGAAAAAGAAAAAAAAAACAGACACCAAAACGACGTCGTTTTGGTGTCGAGCCAAATTCGACCCACGAATTTCGAGCTACCAACCGGGGTTGTTAACTTATTTATAGATTTATTCCAAACTAACTTAAAAACAAGTGTTATTTTTAGAGGTGCTTACGGATTTGACCAATCTATTAAAATTGACTCAAGTTTCGTATGCGAAGTGGGTGGACTTTTTAGTTTTTTTAACTTTTTAAGCTATTTTAACTTAGGGTTAAAAAGCTTAGTTTGGGAAGGACTTTTGGCTTTTTTGTTTTTTTTGTGAGAGAAAAAATGTAATGATTACGGATTGGATGTGATGTTTTGTTTTATTGAGCTAAAAAGTCTATTTTGTTTTTTGTGACTAATTTAGCCAAAAAGCCACAAAACCTTATTCCCAAACATAATTAGACTAAATCCATCCACTTTTAAGCGAGTATGGACAGACGAATGCGGATGAAGATTTTTCAAATCTTTTTACGTTCAGACAGATGACAGATGACAGATGAAAGTTCATTCGACCTAATTCGATCTACCAACTCCCTTCAAAAAAGAATGTTATATTTTTATGATTTGAATATTAAAAAATTAATTATTTAGTAATAATATTACTTACATATGAAATATGAAAATTTAACCTTTATTAATTATAAAAAATAAAAAAGTTTGGACTCAAACAAGGCCCAAAGTAATAAAAAAAACTACTCTAAAATAGTTTTTTTTTTTTATAGAAAAAAAAGAAAAAAGAAGAAGCATAGAACAGTAAAGTTTGGTGGTTTGTATCCACATGCCAATTTACACGATTCACTCAACCTGCATCTACTAACTAAGCAGATAAATGTGGATTGATTTTTTTTAATTTGCCTCAATTCCAATAGATAACGGATGGGACTCAGCCCAACCCGATCCGCGAAAACCTTGTATTATTGATTTTTTTTCTTTTTTCCAATCAATAAAACAATAATTACAAATGTAAAAATTAATACATTATCAAACAAACTACTAACCTACCACTTGACTACTACTTAATTACCAAGCCTACTAGTCCCACAATCTCTACAATAATGCTAGGTATCATGAAAGAAATATCATCAAAAGTCTTCATGAAGATCCTCTACCCTTAGATTAATTTGTAGTGTTTGTAGTGTTTTATTGTATGTTATGTAATCATTCTTGGATTAGTTTCATGGAATTTTTCATGATATTTATTTCATGATGTGTAGCATTACTCTAATCTCTATAACAGTTAAATTATTGAAATCTCACACTACAAAGATTGTTACACAATTACTAAATTAAATGTCTTAATTAATACATTTAATTTGTTAATCATATGAAAATTTTAAAATTATGTAAATTTCAAGACTACATATAACCTTCTTGTATAAAAATGTATTAAAATAAAAAGACCACATAACTTTTTACATTTTATTAATCGTACTTTACGGTTTCAAGCTTTTTTCATAATAATTATTATTATTTCTTTTGTAATGGCGAAATCGACGGTGGGTGGATGTTTTCTTTGACTAATTCTTTAATGGGAGTGGGAAAGTTGGAATGTGTTGGGATCCTTTTAAAAAGGAGGGAATATGAGGAGCTTGGGAGTCGTGGACAAATGCTCTATTTTCGTGGGTATCAAGTGTGAATTGCACTATGGTACAATCCACAAAAGTTGCAATCTCATGTGTCTTCACCGACAATTTTTTGGTATCAAATTTCGAATATCATGTTATGTATGGTTAAGAGTGGTGTTTTTTTTTTTTTTTTTTTATTGTAAGCCTTTTTTTGTTGGTGATCTCTTCAAGGGGTGCTGCTTTGGACCTGCGGGAGAGTGTGAGGATTTTCCTGTAACAAAAAAAAAGAGTGGTGTTTTTAGCACCTTATAAATTATTTTAGATTTTTAATTTCTTTAGACCTCATTTATAAATTTTAAAATTCTTAAAATTTCTTTTCTTTCTTTAAATAATATCAAAATTATTCTTGTAAAAATATTTCACCAATTTAATGCACACCCCCCCAAACTTCACACACTCCAAAAAAACCTCACTTCAGAAAAAAATCCTAACAAAGCCCACAAAAAAGAAAAAAAGAAGCAATGTGATTAACGTCTCTGCTGTCTCATTCACCATTATCACAGTTGGTATACTCTCTCTCTATATATATATATATACTAGTATATGCCCGTACCTGAAGGCATGATACAATTACTAATGAGATTAAAATATAAATCAAAATAAAATCATTAAATTAAAGCCATTTAAGAAACATAATGTTAAGATTAGATTGGATAAATTACATTTTAAATTGGATAAATTAAATTTTAAGATCAAGTATTATATACTCATTTATTATTGTAGAATATTTACAAATGATAATATTAAAAGCAAATTGAATTGCGGAATTGTTTTACCCGATAATCAATCATTTGTGCCAATTTTTGTTCTATTAAAAACATTGTTATCTCCATCAACTCCAATGTTATGCATGCACGTCAGTGGATTACATCCACTATTACATTTTAAGGAAGGGCATGAGAGATGTGATATAGGATCTATGGATCCAATCATGGAACTAAAATCATGTGTTCTGTGTAACCAATTCTCTTAAATCAACCTAATGAAAAGTGCAATAAAAGAAAATGTTGGTTGAATAGGCATTGAAGACTTGAAGGCATGCTTGCAGTTGTGACAATTGAAAAAAGAATTGAGAGGAAGGAAACTACGTTGCCTACTAATCTGTTACAATTACTCCTTCTAAAAGGAGCATACACTCGTCAAACTCGGCTTTCAGAGTGGTTCAGCTTTCTGCCTAGCATACAAATTTGTAATTGCAATCTTGTAGTGGCAGTAAAACTTCATTCCTCAGCCCAATTCTACACATTAATACAACATTAATTCTTCTTGTGCTTGTAGAAGAAAAAGAAAATTGGGCTAAATTTATATAAACATTCAACTAAGAAGTCAGAGCATTGAATATCAATTT